GTGCAGAAGCGAGCTTCAGGTTGTCGACAGAGTTCTGCATCGCCTGCTTGGATCGGCTGCATGCTTTGCAAGACGCCAAAGCGCCGATGAACAAGCAGCTGTTCATGAACGAACTGTGTCAGCCCATGAAGAAGGCAGGCTCATCCGTCATATCAGCTTTTTCGTAAAAGCCGTGCTTCCTCTGTGAAATAACTGGTTGACCAGTTTTTAATAAAGCAAGCTGGGAGCACTGGCGACAGGCGCAGGACTTTCTGCTGTCGACACAGAGGCACTACCAGAAGGTGTTGGACACCTCGGCTGGTGCGAAAGGGATGCTGGCCAGGGTCAAAGACTTTCTGCAGTCGGAAAACGGCCGCCAGAAGATCCTGTATTGCATCAAGAACCGGATCCCTTTGGTAGGGTCGCCTGACATCCCGGAGTCAGGTGTCAGCCAGTGCCGGCTGCTTGGTCTGACAGACGTCACGTTTCCGATTGAAAGTTATTCAAACACCTAGCTAGGAAAACAAAAACACAAAGCCGTTAAATTAATAAGTAGCACAGCGCACTACTCAGAAGATTTGGCAAATATAAATTCATGTATATATCTGCATATCCACATGTAAGTATTCCTTTGGTCAGGAACGTGCAACAGCAGCTGTCGGCCCTGCTCAAAGCCTCCGAAGTGGTGACCCTTCCGTCAGAGTCTGCAACGCAGCCAGCAGCGGACAAAGACAAGGTCCAGGATGATCCACCTGTCAGCGGGGCGGACAGCATGGAGTTGGATGTGGCAGATGGCCAGGCTGTCGACATTCAGCCGGACAAGGACCCATCTTAATATCGGGATCGTGTTGCAGTGGCTGGTTCACCCAGAGTTTTTGGCCAAATCAAATTGAGTGAACCATTGACAGCCATCGTTGATTGAATCGTCATTCCCCATTCCAGGGGCGTGAAGTGAAGTGAGATGTTCAGCATTGAAGTCCGTTCACATTTGACCTACCGAAGAGGATGCCACACATAACAAGGGCTCCTCTCACACC